GCTCTACCACTTGAGCCACCTCGTCACTTCCGGCTTTTTTCTTTTTGCTTATGTGGTGCTGAGGAATCGAACCCAGGGCCTCAGGCATGCAAGGCAAGGACTCTACCACTGAGCCACCTTCCCAGCCCTAGAAAAATGTTTTCTGTTCGCCATGAGAAAATTCAAGTTGAAGACTGTCTTGAAGTAAAGTGTTCTCGATGGTTAGAGTGGGACGGGTTTGTGTTTTATATAAACAGACAATAGTTCTTTTGTGTGGCTTTGTTTTCGCTTCTTTCTGAGGCCCTGTTACAGCTGTAGAAACACAACTGAGGAAATAAAATACCAAATACCTAATACCCTTCCAAATACTATTGTATTATAAAGCTACCTTTTGATCATTTTTCTTCGGTGAATTTACCATGCTCCTTCAGAGCAGCAATAAAAACATAAAGTGAGAGAAAGAAATCCCTTTTTTTTTTTTTTTTGGTCGGTTGTGGGGCCTGAACTCTGGGCCTGGGCACTGTCCCTCAGCTCTTCAGTTCAAGGCTAGCGCTCTACCATTTGAGCCACAGTACCACTTGTGGATTTTTCTGCTTATGTGCTGCTGAGGAATCGAACCCAGGCCTCATGCATGCAAGGCAAGCACTCTTACCACTGAGCCACCTTTCTAGCCCGAAAGAAATAGTTTTTAAAGTTCTCTTAGAAATCTAGTTCCTTCAATTTCTGTTTTGGAAAATGCCTGTTTATTTCTGCTTAATGAGGAGGCCAGTTCTAGGGTTTGAATTAAGGCCTCCTACTTGCTAGTCAGGTGCTCTTTCACTCCAACCACTCCTGCAGCCCTGCTTTTTGCTGATTATTTTGGGAAGGTAGTCTAGTGAACTTTTTCTGCTCTGGCTAGAATGGACTACAATCCTCTGGAGCCTCTAGAGGAAAAGGGATTGTGTGTGTGTGTGTGTGTGTGTGCGCGCACACACACATACTATATATATATATATATACACACACACACGCACACACAGAGAAATGTACATAGATAATCCTGCCTTTGGTAGAATTTGTATGAATAGTTTGTTTTTCGTGATAGTGTTTTCAGGCAACACAGATAAAATGAAGCCATTTTTAACTTAATCTGTGATTTATTTTATTTTATTTTTTGTGGGTCGTGGGGCTTGAACTCTGGGCCTGGGTTTTGTCCCTTAGCTATTCAGCTGAAGGCAAGTGCTCTGCCGCTTGAGCTACAATGCTACTTTCAGTTTTCTAGTGGTTTATTGGAGATAGGAGTCTCACGGTCTTTCCTGCCGGGGCTGGCCTTGAACTGCAATCCTCATATCTCAGACTCCTGAGTAGCTAGGATTACAGGCTTGAGTCACCAGCACCTGGCTAATCTGTGATTTTTATTGTGAACAGGACAGCCAGACCCCTCTCTCTGCTAGCCTGTGTCTTGACTCAGCACAGTTTGCTTAGCACTCAGAAGACCTTAAATACATTGGTGGGGTCCACCTGCAGACCCTTGTTCCTGGGCCTTTTGCATATTGTTTCCTTTCTAACGGTCTCCTTTACTGTTGCAGGAAATCCCCCCAGAGTGGCACATGGAGCTGATGTTAGACAGAGTCTTGCCGGAGGAGCTGTGGGCCCACTATGTGGAGCAGCTGGGCAGTGCCCGGAGCATTGCTGTGGAAGACTCGGTTTTGCTTGTCTTTTCCCTGAAAGTTTTCATTTTTGCTGTGAAGGAGCCTAAATCTTTTCCTAAAGGTAAGGTGCTAGTCATGGGTCTTCAGGGGTCTTGAGTGAGCAGTTGCTGTGTTGTGCTGATGGTTTCTGCGTGATTGCTCCTTGTCCCACAGGTGCCACGTGGTGGAACCCTGAGCGGCTAGACGAGGACGGGAAGCACTACCTGCACCTGCTGGTGGGGCTCTTTGAGCTCATCCTGCAGGGGACCGAGGCCCTTCATTTCAGAGTGCTGATGAAGCTTTTCATACAGGTACTCGGCCCCCTGTGCCCTCTTCCTTCCAGCAGGACTCTAGCTCATCTATAGGGATGCGAGGGGGCGTGGTCACCAGAAGCCAGGGGAGCGGTCCTCACTGGGCACGCTGTATTCCGCACCACAGCACTCCGAGTAGCCACAGATTCCTTGCCCGACTTCACAGCTTTTTTTTGGACACTATGGACTGGGACTTGAGTTTATGAGGTAAACACTGAGCCAGTCGAGCCTCACACCCTGTCATTTTGCTTTCAGTTTTTTTCACATAGTCTCTTGTCTTTCCTTGGGCTGACCAGGAACTACAGTCCTCCTTTCTCTACTTCCCAAGTTGCTGATATTACAGAGGGCCTGGGTGCTGTCCTGAGCTTTCACTCAACGCTAGCACTTTATTACTTTGACCCACAGCTCTACTTCTGTTTGTGTGGAGAATAGGAGATGAGAGTCTCATGGACTTTCTTGCCCCAACTGGCTTCAAACCATGGTCCTCTGATCTCAGCCTCCTCAGGAGAAACTAGGATTACAGTCATGAGCCACCAGCACCCTGCTGAAGCACTTTCTTTTTTTTTGGTCATGGGGCTTGAACTTTGGGCTTGGGTGCTGTCCTTGCGCTCTTCAGCTCAAGGCAAGCACTCTAACCGCTTGAGCTAAGGCGACACTGCCAGTTTTCTAGTGGTTTAATAGAGATAAGAGTCTCATGGACTTTCTTGCCTGGGCTGGCTTTGAACCGTGATCCTCAGATCTCAGCCTCCTGAATAGCTAGGATTACAGGCGTGAGCCACCGGTGCCAGGGTGAAGCACTTTCTTTTTTTTTTTTTTTTGGGTCCGGTCATGGGGCCTGAACTCTGGGCCTGGACGCTATCCCTCAGCTCTTCAGCTCAAAGCTAGCGCTCTACCACTTGAGCCACAGCGCCACTTCCGACTTTTTTCTTTTTGCTTATGTGGTGCTGAGGAATCGAACCCAGGGCCTCAGGCATGCAAGGCAAGCGCTCTACCACTGAGCCACCTTCCCAGCCCCTGGAGATGTTCTTGAATCAATGTTGCTGACACACAAATGGACGCTTTTGTGTGCACATGCACAGGAATGGATGGGAGTGGGGAAGGGGGGTCTGCTGCTGCCTCATTCTTCAGCCACCCAAACTTTCCCAGTGACATCCTGGTTTAGAAATGAGCAGTTTCTTTTTTTTCTTTTTTTCTGCCAGACCTGGGGCTTGAGCTTTACCTGGGCACTGTCCTTGAACTTCTTTGGCTCAAGGCTAGCACTCTACCACTTGAGCCACAGTGCCACTTCTGGCTTTTATTGTTTATGTGGTACTGAGGAATCGAACCTAAGGCTTCATGCATGCTAGGCAAGCACTCTACCACTGAGCCACATTCCCAGACAAAATGAGCATTTTCCATTTACAAAAAACATACTGTTAAGGTGGTGTGTATTGGGAAACACAATTATCACTTGGAAAACCCTTCTGCATTCCCTTGAGATAGTATAGTTGGTGCAGACAGTGTGTGAACCAGAGTGTGTGTGTGTGTGTGTGTGTGTGTGTGTGTGTTTGTTTGTGTGTTTGTGTAAGACTGCCAGAGAATAGATGACCATTTTTCCATAATGACAAATCATTAGGTAGTCGAAGTCTTCAGAAAGGTAGTTTGAGCCGGGCGCCAGTGGCTCACGCCTATAATTCTAGCTACTCAGGAGGATGAGATGTGAGGATCAAGGTTAAAAGCCAGCCCAGGCAGGAAAAGTCCAGGAGACTTTTTTTTTTGCCAGTCATGGGGCTTGAACTCTGGGCCTCAGTGCTGTCCCTCAGCTCCTCAGCTCAAGGCAAGCACTCTACCACTTGAGCCACAGCGCCACTTCTAGTTTTCTGGTGGTTTATTGAAGATAAGAGTCTCATGGACTTTTCCTGCCAGGGCCAGCTTTGAACCGCAATCCTCAAATCTTAACTTCCTGAGTAGCTGTGATTACAGGACTGAGCCACTGGCACTTGGCTTCCATGAAACTCTTATCTCGAATAAACCACTTAGAAAACCAGAAGTGGTATTGTAGCTCCTGTGGTAGAGGAAGTGGAATTGTAGCTCAAGTGGTAGAGCGCTAGCCTTGAGCTGAAGGCGCTCAGGAACAGAGTTCAAGCCCCAAGATGGACCAAAAAAAAGGGAGTTTCAGTTTTAATATTTTTTTGGTTCTAAGGATCAAACTTAGTACTCTGCACAAGTTAGGTAAGTACTTTACCACCAAGCTGCCCCTCCTCCTGGAGAGGTATGCCTTTGGTGCCACTTAAGTTTGATTGATTGTGATGTGCATCTCCCCTTTGGTTTCAGTGGTGGTGTCTCTACTTGTAAACCTGAGCAGCCCCATCAAAGAGGTGCGGCGGGCTGCCCTTCAGTGTCTCCAGACCCTCAGTGGACTGACGGCACCGTTTCAGCTGCTCATAGACCACTTGGTTCCCAAAGCAGAGGAGATCACCTCAGATCCCACCTATGTGGTTCAGGTAAACTACCCAGGTCTGGCTGTCTGTCTGTCTCGACACATGAACATTTACTTTACAGGGAATCTGACAGATTGCTGCTGAACTTAGAAACTGATGTCAGTAACTGTCTTTGCTCCATTTCTAATGGTTGCAATACCATGGCCAGCTTCTAGTAAGCTAGTTCTTGGGGAACTGATAGTATTCCCAGTTGGAACTTCATAGAGAATGAAAAGGTGCAAGGACATCACGTTGTCCTATATCTACTACATTGAACCTTCCCCCTTCATGAACCCTTCATTACAGTTTTCTTTCTGGTATTCTAGGATCTGGCTACTCTGTTTGATGAACTACAGAGAGTAAAGAAACAGAAATCTCATCAAAAGTTGTCTGAAACTTTGAAAACCCTGCTTTATACTGTATATGAATGCCCATCGTACGTTGCAAAAGATTTGCTGAAAGTAATTCAGGACGTCAACAGTGAGGTATGTGTAATTTAGCGGACTGTATGTGCCATGCGGTGTTCCTGAAAAGTTACTGTTACTGCACATGTGTGAGGAAGGCAATCACAGGAGTCACGTGTGTGCTCTCAGCACTGAGGTTGTCTTAATCTTTTTGAAGGAGGAAATGTGAGGTGGAGAACTGGATACTGGATACCAGAAATACGAATCTTCTTATATTTTAAAATGAAGTGTGCTATCCCTGTCTTATCATCAGCTTGATTTTTAATTGCTTTAAAAATCTACTGGAAGGTGGCTGGGAAGGTGGCTCAGTGGTAGAGCGCTTGCCTTGCATGCATGAGGCCCTGGGTTCGATTCCTCAGCTCCACATAAGCAAAAACAAAAAAGCCGAAAGTGGCGCTGTGGCTCAAGTGGTAGAGCGCTAGCCTTGAGCTGAAGAGCTGAGGGACAGCGCCCAGGCCCAAAGTTCAGGCCCCATGACCAGACCCCCCCCCCAAAAAAAAAAAAAAAGTCTGCAGGAAGAACTCTTGGTTTGTGTCCATTTTCCAAATAAATCATGATTTGCACACACATAATTTGCATTCATGCTAATCATTCTAAATTGGAAACAGGGAGAAAAGCACAGTGTTTTAGCAAATGGTAAACTGTTGCTCAATTGGTAAACCATACTCAGTTTTTAGTTCTGTTCTTGAGTGTTGAGGAAGGCTCACACAGGCTCTCGGTCCTGTCTGAAGTATCCCTGGGGACCTGTTCGGAGCGAGGGCAGGAAGGGGCAAGCACTATGAGAGTTGTACCACCCCCAGCCCACCCATCACCACAGGGGATAAGCCCCTGGTCTTCCAATAGGATGTCTCTGCAGAGTCAGCGAAAAATCAGCATTGCTGAGTGTAATCACTAACGAATCCCCTGTCGTAGATGGTGCTTTCCCAGCTGCTGCCCTTGGTGGAACGGTTACTAGAGAAGATAGAGAAGGACCCCACAGCCGTTCTGAAAGACGAGGTCACTGTCCTGCATCTTGCACTGGGGAAATACAATGAACACTCAGTTTCACTTTTACATAAGGACCCCAAGAGCTTAAATATGTTTATAAAAGCTGTGCACACAACAAAGGAACTCCACCCGGGAATGGCAACCGTTCAGATCACAGCCCTCGAAAAGGTCAGTGGCTTTCTTCAGAAACAACAGCTCCTTCAGACAGTTAAGGATTTGTAATGGAAGAGGTGTGTGTGTGTGTGTGTGTGTGTGTGTGTGTGTGTGTGTGTGTGTGTGTGTGTGTGTGTGTGTGTGTGTGTGTGTGTGTGTGTGTGTGTGTGTACACACTGAGGCTTGGACTCAGGATGTGTGTGTGTGTGTGTGTGTGTGTGTGTGTGTGTGTGTGTGTGTGTGTGTGTGTGTGTGTGTGTGTGTGTGTGTGTGTGTGTGTGTGTACACACTGAGGCTTGGACTCAGGACCTCCATTGAGCTTTTGCTTGTGTGTGTGTGTGTGTGTGTGTGTGTGTGTGTGTGTACACTGAGGCTTGGACTCAGGACCTCCCTTGAGCTTTTGCTTGGCGTTTTTACTCAATCCTGCCACTTTGCCACTTAAGCTACATCTCTACTTTTAGGCTCTTTGGTGGTGGTTAATTGAAGAGTCTTGGGTTATCTGTCTAGGTTGGCTTCAAACTGCACTCCTCAGATCGCAGCCTTCTGAGTAGCTAGGATTACAAGTGTGAGCCACCAGCACCTAGCCGTAGGTTCTTAATGAACTAGATACATTTTAAAGGCACATGATGCATTTCACTTATTGTACAAGAAAGCTGAACATGAGTTATAAAAAAGTCCAAGCCAGAAGCCAGTGGCTCATGCTTGTAATCCTAGTTACTCAGGAGGCTGAGATCTAAGGATTGTGGTTCAAAGCCAGCCTGGGCAAGAAAAGTCCATGAGACTCCAATAAATCACTCAGAAAACTGGAAGTGGTGCCGTGGCTCAAGTGGTAGATTGCTTGCCTTGAGCTGAAGAGCTGAGGGACAGCGCCCAGGCCCAGAGTTCAAGCCCCACGACTGGCCAAAAAAAAAAAAAAAAAGTGCATTGTCATGAGAAAATAAAGTGGGGAGCAGTTTTATGTTGTGAGAGAATACAATTATTGTTTTGCATTTTGAGTCTTTGGAGCTCAGGCTTGTTGAGTTCACTTGGTTTTCTTCCATCCTCCAGATTACAAAGCCATTCTTCGCAGCTGTGTCAGATGGAAAGGTCCAGCAGAAACTCTTGTGCATGTTGTTTGACCTCCTGGTGAACTGCAAAAACACCTGCTGTGCTCAGACTGTGAGCAGTGTCTTTAAAGGGGTGAGTTGCAAACTTGGTGTCATTTGTTAGTTTATCTCTTCCCAGTTAGTGAACTTAACTATCCTGCGGTGCCCTTTGAGAGGTCAGTTGTCACCATTAAAGAGACAGGGAAAAGCAGATTATAGATTTAATACCAAGGTCCATATCCATAAGATATGGATCTTACCCACATTGGTGTGATCTGCCTGGTCTATGCGAGTGAAAGGCTTCATGCTGGTGAGGAACCATCACTCTAGTAAGCAGCTCTGTGTTATTATAAAAGGAGAAATCAGGAAACGGCTCATTGGTTGAAACCTAGCCAATATCACAATACCACCTGGCCATTCTGTTTTTTGAATTTATGAAAATACCCATGGTGAAGTCCTACTCTCTGGCGTCAGTAGCTTTCAAAATTTTATCCCATTTGCTCAATTTTTTTGTTCTTTTTTTTTTTTTTTGCTGAAGTATTTTAAGGTAAATTTCAAGCATTAATTTACTAGTATTCCTATGTACATCAGTATGCCTCTTTTTTTTAAAAGACATTTTCTTAATATGTCTATACTACCATTGTTACACCAGAAAAAAATTTAACAGTAATTCCTGTTAACATGTAATACTTTGGTCCACAATCATATTTTATGGCTGTCTTAAAACACTTTTTGAGATTCTTTTGAGTCAAAATGCAAGAATTGGCTGGGAATGTGGCCTAGTGGTAGAGTGCTTGCCTAGCATGCATGAAGCCTCAGTGCCACATACACAGAAAAAGCCAGAATTGGTGCTACGGTTCAAGTGGTAGAGTACTAGCCTTGAGCAAAAGACGCTCAGGGACAGTGCCCAGGCCCTGAGTTCAAGCCCCAGGATTGGCAAAAAAAAAAAAAAAAACCAAGCATTTAGTTGTGATATGTGAAACTTTCTAAAGAAGGAGCTTTTCTGATCCCATTCCGAATCTAGAGTGACTCTCAGGGTGGCACACGTTATCTTTCCTATTGACCGTATGAGTCTGGTTTAGCCCCTGGAAGTGGTGAGTGTGGTTATGAATATGGCCAGGCGCTGGTGCAGTGTCATGCTCAGAGAAGCGCAGGGCTGCAGCTTTAGACTCAGGACACCCTAGAGAGGCAAGTGTGCAATTAAAAGTGAATCTCAAATTAGAAATAATGTTGACTAGTGCTAAGGAGGTTTTAGTTTAAGCCCCTCTCTTGTTTTTTTGAAATTTTTTCTTGAGGTCTTTTTTAAGATAGTAGTATCAAAATTGTAGGAGTGGGGGTAGACACAGACCCCCAAAGTCATTCTAACTTCTCAGCTGAGAAAATTCTTATGGGATAAAGTTTGTTTTCAATCTTAGTACTTCTAAAGAAATCTTGGTGAAAACTACAATCAAAGATTACACGTATTAAACAGGCTTTGAGTGTCTTGTGGAGATGACTTAGTGCTGATTCAATTAAGGACTATCTTGGAACATTTAAGGGGTTCTGGGAAGGAAAGTGTCAGCCAAAATCCCTCCATCTTCCATCTCAGTAGCCAGCCAGCTGGAGGACATACATTATCGATGGCATTTGTCTTTGGCTGGTTCTAGTGTGGTAGCAGGACACAGGAGGAGACATAAATGCCTTTGTTATGTCTCTTTTGGTCACTGTTGATAACATCAGCCATTCTTTTTCAAATTTCAGATTTCCGTTAACTCTGAACAAATCAGAGTAGAGCTGGAGCCATCAGATAAAGCCAAATCCTTGGGCACCATCCAGCAAACAAGACGGCAGAAAATGCAGCAGAAGTAAGAGCTGTGACTGACTGCCTGGTGCATGCTTGTTCCGGGCTCTGATGTCAGGAACCATTTGATTCTTTTTTCTTTTTGTCTGTTGTGAGGCTTGAACTCTGGGCTTGGGTGCTGTCTCTGTGCTCTTCAGCTCAAGGCTAGCGCTCTACTGCTTGAGCCACAGCGCCACTTTTGGTTTTTGAGTGGTTTATTGGAGATAAGAGTCTCAAGGACTTTCCTGCCCAGGCTGGCTTTGAATCATGATCCTCAGATCTCAGCCTCCTGAGTAGCTAGGATTACAGGTGTGAGCCACCAGGGCCCGGCTTCTTTTCTATTTTCTAATGCTTTTATTTTTACGTTGGTAATGGGGCTTGAACTCAGAGCCATGAACTTTCAGTTTTTCTTCTCTACCACTTGAGCTACAGCTCTTTTTCTGGCTTTTTGGTAATTAATTGGAGAGATGAAGTCTCACGAACTTTCTTGCCCACATTTGCCTAGGATAAGCATTCCTTAGATCTCAGCTTCCTAAGTAGCTAGGATTAGAGGTGTAAATCTATTTTTGCTAAGATAAACAGCAGCATTAAACACTGCTGTGTAAGATCAGTCCTACCTGCCTGCCCTCGCTCTTTTTTTTTTGTCAGTTGTGGGGCTTAAACTCTGGGCCGGCGGACTGTCCCTGAGCTCTTCAGTCAAGGCGAGTGCTCTACCTCTACCGCTTGAGCCACAGTGCCACTTACAGTTTTCTGGTAGTTTATAGGAGATAAGAGTCTCACGGACTTCTTGCCCAGGCTGGCTTTGAACTGTGATCCTCAGATCTCAGCCTCCTGAGTAGCTAGGAATACAGGTGTGAGCCACCAGCGCCTGGCTTCCATTGTGATTCTTTTTTTTTTTTTTTTGGG